GATGTCAAGTTTAACGATCTTGAGGAATGAACAAGGGGGGTGGGGGGGTAGAAGAGAGGGAGGGAAAGGAAAGAAGCATCTAAACTAGTTTGAGTGCTTTTTCTCTTATGATCAACCATCTGAATTGTGGGTTTGCTTTTTCCTTTCTGGAATCGGTGAGGTTACCCGATGTCGGACGGGCCAAGGCAAAAAGAGGCAGAGATCCCCCAGTGATGGCAAGCTGATGCCTCGGTATCAGTAATCGGACAGAAGGAGACACTGCAGAAGAATACGCCAGACTCTGAAGACGGGAAAGTCAAACCCCACAGAGGCACTTGAATTTAGTCAGACTGAGCTAGGCTTGAAAAGTGCATGCTTTGCCAATTGAACTCATGGGAAGAAAAGTTACTTTTTTGAACTACAGTTCCCAAAACACTATATAGTGTGGTGAACTATTCTCCAAAAATATAACTTTTCCAAATCCTGAATGGAGCAGATCTTGGCCCACTTCTTATTTATTTATTTATTTTATTTTATTTATTTGATGGACCACTCTAGGCAGCTTCTTCAATGACGATCACTATTATTTCCAGTAAGGGTGGGAAACCTTCTTTCTTGCAAGGGGCATAGGGATGATGAGGATGATGGCAGACAACATCATGTATTACCCATCTGGTGATGCCCATGTGTAGAGTCACCTCTAATGTCGTTGGAAAAGAGTGTTTGTGATGACCAGCTTGTTCTCTTGACAAAACTCTATTAGCCTTTGCCCTGCTTCGTTTTGAACTCCAAGGCCAAACTTCCCTGTTGTTCCTTTTATCTCTTGGCTCCCTAATTTAGCATTCCAGTCCCCTAGAATGAGAAGAACTCTTTGGTGTCAGTTCTAGAAGGTGTTGTAAATCTTCATAGAATTGGTCAATCTCAGCCTCTTCAGCATCGGTCTTTGGTGCAGAAACTTGGACAACTCTGATGTTGAAAAGTCTGCCTTGGATTCGTATTGACATCATTCTATCATTTTTGAGATTGTATCCCATTACAGCTTTTCCCACTCTTTTGTTGACTATGAGGGCTACTCCATTCCTTCTACGGGATTCTTGCCCACAATAGTAGATATGATAATCATCTGAGCTGAATTCGCCCATTCCTGTCCATTTTAGTTCACTGATGCCCAGGATGTCGATGTTTATTCTTGCCATCTCCTGTTTGACCACCTACAGCTTCCCAAGGTTCATAGATCTTACATTCCAGGTTCCTATGCAGTATTTTTCTTTACAGCATTGGACTTTCCTTTCACTTCCAGGCACGTCCACAGCTGAGCGTCCTTTCGGCTTTGGACCAACCACTTCATTAGCTCTGGAGTTACTTGTACTTGTCCTCCGTTCTTCCTCAGTAGCATGTTAGATGCCTTCTGACCTGAGGGACTCATCTTCCACCGTCATATCTTGTTTGTTTCTGATCATGGGGCGTTCTTGGCAAAGATACTGGAGTGGCATTGCCAGCTCCTGCTCCAGGTGGATCGCGTTTAGTCGGAACTCTCCACTATGACCTGTCTGTCTTGGGTGTCCCTGCACGGCATAGCCCATAGCTTCTCTGAATGACTCAAGCCCCTTCGCCATCCGTGGAGTGAAGTACTAGTCCCCCTCTATTCTGCACTAGTTACGCCACATCTTGAGTACTGTGTTGAGTTTGGGGCACTATACTTCAAGAAGGATGCTGACAAGTTCAGAGGAAGGCAAGAAGGATGATTAGGGGACTCAAAACCAGGCCCTAGGAAGAAAGACTGAAAAAAAAAAAAGGTTTCGGATGAATATCAGGAAAAACATCCTAACGGTTAAGAGCAGTACGACAACGGAACCCATAACCTTGAGAGGTGGTGAGTGCTCCAGTGCTCGAGGCCTTCAAGAGAAATTTAGACGACCACCTGGCAGATCTGCTTTGATTCGGATTCCTGCCTTGAGCAGGGAGGCTGGACTGGACGGCCTTAGAGGCCCCCTTCCAACTCCGTTATTCCTTCCTGCCATGTCCTAACCGTATCAAGCACCATCATTCCTTGGAAGAGTGCATTGATGCAATCTCAACATTCCTAACTCCTCAACAAACAAACAAATGCTGAGCCGCAAATCAAAGACATCCCTGAATTTGCAGAACCGTAGAATCACGACGTTGGAAGGGCCCTATAAGGCCATCTAGTCCCATTTATTCTGGCTTCTCCTTCCAGAAAAGCCGACGTCAAAATGTGCAGCCGTGCAGCATTCCTATAGGACAAAATCCTTCCTCTATCAATTCTTCTCGTTTTTAATTCTTCAGCAAAAGCAGTTCAAAAGCAGCCATTTGTTTGATGGTTGAGGGACAGCCCTTTTATGATGAGATGAAGCGGGGAAGAAGCAAGGGCAGACCTTCAGGTTGTGAGTGCTAAGGAAAGGGGAGAGATCCCATCATTCCGGCATAAAGAATTGGTGCTAAATAAGTGCCGGGTGCACCGGGATGCTCCAAAGCATAACTCCGCGCTTGGTTCTTTGTTTTTCATCAGTGGACTGTGAGACACTTTAATCACCCAAGTCTTAAAGTCAATGGACCGGATCTGCCCAGAATCCCACCCAGTGCATTATTTTGCCTGCCCTACACTGGCTGACCCGAGGGAGTTCAAAGGGAAGCGGCCAAATCCATGCTGGGCACTTGGAACGTCCCCAGTTCAACCCCAAGGTAGGAAAAACCTGTGAAGTTGAATTTCCCCCCAATGTTCACATAGATCTTTTAACAGATGCCAGGAAGCACATGATGGAAAGAAACCAGGAACCATGCTCGGCTACCTGTTAAAATACTCTGATCTATTACAGTGAAGTGGATTTAGATTATTTTATTATGGTTTTGGTTAAAGTTGGTTTTATCTGGGTCCCCCCCCCCTTTAAAAAACTCTGTAAGCTACCTTGAATGCTCTCTTGTAATGGAAAGGAGATGTAAAAAAAAAAGTAAGGATATGGGGGATTCTGGGAACTGCAGCTTAAAAAGGAACTTTTTTGGCTAAGGAGATTTCTATGTTTATCTGTCTTCCTCCTCCTCTTTGGAGGTCATTCTTCCATGACCTGGGAGTTTCATCTTCCAGCACTATCTCTTATTCCATTTTGGACTGTATTGTCATAGGGTTTTTAAGATAAGAAGAGTTCGGCAATGGTTTACTCTTGCCTTCTGCATAGTACTACCAAAAGTTATCTTGAAGTGCTGCTGCTGTTGTCTGTGAATGATCCCCTTCCCGCCTCTACTGCCTGAGGTTGGGAGTTCGATTCCTCACAGTGTCTCCTCTGCCGCTCTAAAATGATATGACCCTTCTCTTCTGCTCATGTGGTCATTACTCCTTGACGAGGGGTGGATGCATTTCCATCTGATGTCTTAGCTGCAACCATTCTGCCTCGTCGGAAGTCCTGGCTCGTAATGGAGTCTAGCCTCTTTTTTCCCCCTTATCCCAAATTCATTTTTATTCATTTTCAATAAGGAAACAGCCAAGCCTCTTGATGGCATTGCAGACCGTCTTGACCGCTTGCCACAGGTATGGTCAACATCCAGGCTGCCTTTTGCAAAGTCCAGCCTGACATCTTGTTTCCACGCTGGCAACGCGAGTATGATACTGTGCAGCAATATCGGGCCGTTTCCTGCTGTTTAGATTTGCGGGTACAGAAGCACAACATCCCACATTCATACACCTTTTTTTTTTTAAGAATTGAGTGAGGACAAAACAGAGAAGAAAGCAAGCCCTGGATGTGGCCTGGAGGAAGAGCCTGATGTGTATAAATATATACATGCAGTAAATAGACAAACCTATAGAGCCGTGGTTCCCAACCCAGGGGTTGTTGGACTGCAATTCCCAGAAATGCCAGCCAGCACAGCTGGTAGTGAAGGCTTCTGGGAATTGCAACATCTGGGTGAATCCTGGTAGGAGAACCGCTGCTCTAGCTGGAATCAGGGTGCAGACGGAATACATAAGCAGTGCAACTGGGGACTTGCAAAGGTTTAGCAATGGGACTACTGTTTCTTGATTTCAATGGATTTATTCAAAATATTTTTACCCCGCTTTTCTCCTTAAAAGGACCCCGGGGCAGTTCCTACCGAGGGATCTTGCAATGGCTTTCCTTTGGCGGGCATTTGAAAAAGGAGCCAAAAATAATAGGTGTGTGTGAAATCGGGCTGAGGACTAAGAATAATTAAGGCAGAAGCTAATAGACCTGCTGCAATTAATAGACAACCCCGTCAGGTTGGCTTCTTAGCAACCAACCTCCCTCCCTGTTTGCGGCCCGTTGCTATGGCCCGGCTAAACTACAATTCCCAGAAGGCCCTTGGGGAGCAGCCGCTCGCCG